TTTTTTATTATTATTTATTGTTATTATTATTATTGTTATTTATTATTATTAGGTTATTTATAAATTATTTAATATTTTTAAACTATTGTACATCTTGAAGGCTCAACAGTTTGTTGGTCTTTTTGAAGATGACCAATAAAATACTCATCATTTAAGATTTGTAGCATTTTCGAAGAATGAAATTGAACGTTTTCAGTTCCATCTTTACCAGCGAACCTTAATAGAGCATTCTTACCACCAGGATGGCGATTTATATATTTCGTAATATCGTAAACTTTGTTGTGTATAATCATCCAACAACTTTCTAAACTATTATGTGTTTCTATCTCCTCTAAAGAGAACCAATTACTTTGATTTATTGGATCATTTAGTTTACCAGGTTTATATTTCGATACTATTGGCGTTATTATTTTTTCTTTTTCTTTTTCTTTTTCTTTTTCTTTTTCTATTCTTTTCATTGTGTCTATTATTTTTTTAACTTGAGGTTGTTTCTTTTCATCATTACTACTGTTATCTCCATTATTATTATTATTATTATTTAAAGTTAAATAGATTGGTTGTATATTTGAATTTGTTTCTTTATTAAATTTTTGATGAGAAGAATCACAAAAAGGTAGATTCGAGGATTGTTGGCAAACACATACTAAAGTCGTCGTTGTTTTGCCACTATTTATACTATCTAAAAGCTGTTTGGAATGTGGTAATTTATCATTCGATAAATATTGCAAACTACTTGATATATTATTTAAACATTCAGATAATGGTTGATCTTTTGAAACTTTTTGTTCAATTATAATTTTTCTATCACCATTATTATTACTATTATTATTATTATTATTATTATTATTATTATTATTATTATTATTATTATTATTAATATTATTATTATTATTATTATTATTATTATTATTATTATTATTACTATATTCTTTTTTATTACTACTGCTATCTTCTATATCAACTAAATTACCCTTGTTAGAATTACAACAACATGAATTACATGAAGATTGTCTTTTCCTTGTTGTCGATATTGGAGGCGAATTTGCTGGTATCATTTTATTACTCTTTTGCTTTCTTTTTTTTTTTTTTTTTGTTTTTTGTGTGTATCTTTTGTTTTATTTTTTTTTTAACAGAATTTTGGTAAATTGTTTTTTTTCTTCTTTTTGTTTTTCCAAAAGTTAACTTTTTTTTTTTTTTTTTTTTAATTTTTTTTTAATTTTTTTTTATTTTATTTTTTTTTTTTGTTTTGTTTTGTTTTGTTTTTTTTTTTTCTTTTTTTTTTTTTAATATTTTCCTAAGAAAAAAAAACTTTTTTCAAATTAACTATTATTATTTTATATGTACATGTGGTTAAATATATTATTATATAAAAAAAATGTTTTAGAATTTTTTTTTTTTCTTAATTATGATTGTTTTGAAAAAAAAAAAATAAAAATAAAAATAAAAATTTAAAAAAAATTAAAAAAAAATTTAAAAAAAAAAAAAAAAAAAAAAAAAAAAAAAATCGAAAAAACTTGTTTTTTAAACTTATTTAATTTTTTTTATTTTTTTGTGTTTCCCAACCACACACCATCTGGAATTAATAATTAATATTATTGAATGAATAAAAAAATAAATAAATAATTTTTATATTTAGATGATCTAAATTAAAAAAAAAAAAAAAAAAAAAAAAAAAAAAAATTCATAAAAGCGAAAATAAAATAGGATTTGGGAATCATAATTTAAAATATTCTCGAGTATGTACTATATTCTTTTTTTTTTTATTTTTTTTATTTTTTTATTTATTTTTATTTTAGAAAATCGGGGTTTTTTTTTTTAAAATGGAATATTTAAATTTAACCCACAATAAAAAAAAAAAATATAATTGGAAATGGTAATGTGGTTCTCCTATATATTATTTTTATCCATTGTTTTGTTCTCTCTGGTATTATTATATTTTTTAAAAAAAAAAAAAAATAAAATAAAATAAAAATTATGAAAAAAAAAAAAAAACAATTCCCAAATACAACAAATACTGGGATGTGAAAGTATTTTATGATACATTTTTTTATTTGTTTTTTTTTTTTTATATTTTTATTTCATTTTTTTTTTTTTTTGTTTATATTTTAGGGGATTTTAAAATCTACCCATTTGATAGTCAAAGAAAGCTTGTTGAATTTCTTTTTGGGTGTTCATAACGAAAGGACCATGTTGAACGATTGGTTCACGTATTGGTTTTGCAGATAAGAAAAGGAATCTAACACCATTTTCACCTGCAATAGCATCTAATTTATTTGGTATAATTTCATCATCAGCAATGGTAACTCTATCTTTATTCTCTAAAACACCGATGTGTTGGTCACCAACGATCTTTTCATAACCTTCTGGACCGAATTTACCTTCACCTTCGAAAACATAAATGAATGAATTATGATCAAAATCTGGTATATCAACAGAGATTTTAGTGTTTGGTTCTAATTTAACATCTAAAAATATTGGATTAACACGTAAACCTTTGACAACACCTTCAACACCTTCATAATGACCAGCAACAACTCTAACCTTTTTATCACTTGTATTAACCTCTGGAATTTGTTCAGATGGAATATCTTTATACCATGGTTCAGACATTTTATCAACTGCTGCTAAATTTAACCAAAATTGAAATCCAAACATTTTACCTTCAACTTGTTTTGGCATTTCAGAATGAATAATACTTTATAATATATATATATATTATTAATAAATAGATATTAGTATATTTTATATTTAATTTTTATTTTTTTTTAAAAAAAATTAATTGTAAATTATTAATAAATACCCTCTTGCAGCATTCATAACTTGAACCATACCAGGTTTTAATATACCCTTATTACCTTTATTATCTTTGTGTTCCATAAAACCTTCTATCATATATGTTAAAGTTTGTTGACCTCTATGTGGATGTGATGGGAAGCCTGTAATATAATAGTTTGATTAGAAACTTAATAATTTAAACAATAAAAAAAAAAAAAAAAATTTAAAGTTTATTTTTATGCATACCTGCAATGTAATCATTTGGATTCTCAGATTTAAATGCATCTAACATTAAGAATGGGTCTACTGATTTTGATGGTATAGGGCCACCAATAACACGTAAAAGTGATACACCTGCACCATCTTTGGTTTTATAACCTTTTGCAACATTTGCAACTTTTCTTGAGACACTTGACATTTTATTTATTTTTTATATATTATACTATTTGTATTTTTGTTTTGTTTTATTTTGTTTTTTTTTTTTTTAAAAATGAATAAAAAAAAAAAAAAAATTAATTTAAAAAGGGGCTCCTTAAAAAATTATTTTCATTCTTGTATTCTGGTGTTAGTTATATGATAATTCCGGAATTGAGATTTTTAAAAATTTCAATTTTGGGACATTTCTTTTTTTAATTTTTTTTTTTTTTTTTAATTTTCATCTTTTTTTTTTTTTGTTTTTTTTTCAAAGGCGGTCATACCAAACAAAAAAACCCAAAAAAAAAAAAAAAAAAATGGAACTATTAAAAAAAAACTTTAAAAATAAAAAAAAATAAAATAAAAAATGAAAAAAAAAATAAATTTCATAAAGAGCAATAATCAAAATTCTATTAAATCTTCTTTTATTATCTTTTTTTGATTGTTTTGTAAAATAGAAATACCAAAGACTCCATTACTGATTTTAAGATTGGCAGGTGAATGATTTAACTTTCATCTCCAAAAATTCATCATCTGTTGATAAACCTAATTTTGAAGCCAATGAGCAATATTAACCAAAAATATGTTTTTCTTGAATGAGTTGGAAAGAATTTGAATAATATTGGTGTTTGTTTCATCTTCAATATATGTATTAAAAAAGAATAAAAAGTAATTCAAATAAAGTAAAACGTCACCACTTGAACTAAGACGATTTATTGCATGGGTGTTGATTTTAAAAATAGGCATCCAATGAATATGATTTTTTTTTTTTTTTTTTTTGATTTTCTTTTTATCTGCAGCTAAACTTTGTAGTTTAATTGATTTGAAGACGATAACAGAATCGAATAATTTAATTCTGCTAATGGTTTCTTGGAACGATAGTTCTGGAACTTTATTTGTTTTGGCTAAATGGAAATCAATTCTACCTCTGTCATACTTTTCAATGAGCAACAATATAAATTGGTTCTTGATCTTTATATAATTGATCCATGATAAAAATAAAAAAATCTTCTTCGATTTTTTCTCAATATTGGTCAGTACATTACTATATCAAATGTGATCAAAATGTATAAATAAAATTGTTATATATTTGTATAGCTAAAAAAAAAAAATAAAAAAAAAAATTAAAAAAAAGTAAAAAAAAAAAAAAAAAAATTCAATTAAATTTTTAATTATTTCATAAAGTTTAAGATAAAATCCGACAGACAGGAAAGACCTTGTAATTTTACACATTTTAATAATGATTTATTTTTTGGTTAAATTTTTTTTTTTTTTTTTTTTTTTTAATTTGATTTTTATTTAATAAAAAATTATTTGGTAAAAATAATTTTTAAATTTAGATACACAAAGTTTATTTTAATAACAATGTTGTGATGTATTTTTTTTATAAAAATATTAAAATTTGTGTGTGTTCACAAAATTTTTCAAATAATTTAATATTGGAATATGGTTGATTTTTTTTTTTTAATTTTTTTTATTGGTGTGATGTATTTTTATTTTTGATACTTCTCAAGTATTATTATCATGATTATAATAATAAATGTATAATGTAATCTTAAAAAATATGTTGAGGGTGTTTTAATCTAAAATTTTTTTTTTTTTAATTATTTAATTTCTCGTTATTAAATTTACTTTTTTTAATTTTTAATTATTTCAATAAATCATTTTTTTAAATTTTTTTTATTATTATAAATAGTAATTTTTTTTATTATTATTATTATTATTTTTTTTTAAAATATTAAAATATTTAATATTACAGTTTTTTTTTTTTTTTTTAAATAATAGTTTTTCAAATGTACTTGATATATCGTTTTATGCAGGTGTACCAAGACAATCTCCAAGTACGTATGGTAACTCAATTGAAAAATAATGATTGAGTACATAAGTACTTGGAGATTGGCTTGGTAAACATGCATAAAACTATATATCAATTTTAATTTCATTTGAAATTACATTATTATTTAAATGATACATTTAATTAAACTCCTGTCCATCATCAAAAACTTATTTTGAACCAAAAATATTTGTTTCTGGATAGAAGGTAAAAGTGATAATATAATTTGTAATGGTAATTTTGAAAAATAAAGATTATTTAATCAATCATCAATTTTTTAGTTCAAACCTAAAATGAAAGTTTATTTTGGGCAAATTGACATAAATTATTTTTTTTTTTTTTTTGAGATTATTTTATTTACTAATTTTTTATTAAAGTTTTAAAATTTATTTGATATTATAATATTAATTAAAAGTAGATACAACTGCATCGATAGCACCTTTTCCTAGATCTAACATTTTATTCAAGATCTTTGACTTTTCATTTGTTCTAGTTTTAACTTTATCAAACTGTTCTTCGAACTTTGACTCATCTTGTTCTGAGGTATCTAATGCTGAGATAAATGATTTAAGTTCATCTAAAATCTTTTTATAATTAGAAGCTTTTTCAGTATCTTTAGCTTGTTGAGCAATTTCCATGTGTTGTTGATAAGTTCGTTTTGTTGAGTCAAGAATAATACGCATATCACCTAAAACAGCAAGATCTTTAAATTTAATTTTAAGTTTACTAAATTCTAAAAGTTGTTCACTATATTTCTTTTTAAGTTCTTTGGCTATAAAATAATATTTATTTTTTTGTTAAAATTATTAATAAATCAATATGAATAGAAAATATAAATAATATTTACCTTGGTTTTCGTATTCTTGAGACTTTTTCATTGCATCTAATGCACCATTCTTGATTGAATAGTATACCTCTAAAACCTTATCATCCTCAATCCATTCGAGTTGAAACCTTACATGAACATGTTGTTTGTATGAACATTTACTTGGGCATATTTTACATTTTGTATTTTGTTTGTCATAGGTCAATGATCCTGTAAATTTACTAAAACTAGGTGTTCCTGAAAAGGCGAGACAATTTTTGAAAATGTTGTCACCTCTAATTGAGGTATAGTCTACTCTACAACCAAGGTGACAGTATGGACTCAAGCATTCTGGAGCGAAACAAACAGTGGAATAAACACCACCTGGCCATGGATTTGTACCCATGATTTTGGCTTTTGGTTTACCATCTATAAGTGCGAAGCCTCTATCTTTTAACCATTCATCCATTGAGATAGATTTTGATTTATTGATTAAAGATTCAATGTTTTTGTCAGTCAAATCACTCAAAAGACGTGTAATGGTACTAAGATCATTTACAGTGATTGCAAGACCTTTTAATTTTTCAAGTATTTCATCTTTTAGATCATTGAGAAATTTCATTCCTTCTGGTTTGAATGAAGTTTTTGATCTAATTCTTTCAATGAAAAAATTTTGAACCACTTTTGTCTTTGCTTCCATCTTTTTCTGAAGTTCTTCTGTATTATCAACGCCTAAAAGTGTTTCTGATGTATCCTCTTCATTTTCATCAGTATCTTTAAATATATTTTTATAATGTTGAGACCTAGAAAATAAATATAAAATTTGTTAATTTTTTGAAATAAATAAATAAATAAATTAAATAAATAAATTACCATGGATTATCCATAAAAATAGCAGGTTTATCTTTAATACCATCTAACATTTCATTTAATACTTTTCTAACACTATTTGCTTGGTTTGCATTATCACAGAATGTAATTATTGTTGACACACATTCAAATGCTTCATTTGGAAGAATTGAAAATACATTGCATAACACTCTCAATGGTTCAAGTGTTTTTCTTGTTAATGCACCATTTACAACATAGCTAACACTGTCAAGTCTTTCGAGTTTACCTACTGCTGATAAAATTGATTTAATATGTTGACGATCTTTGTTCATACCACCAGAGTCTGCAAAACCTGGTGTATCAACAATAGTAATACCAAACATCCAAGTATCATTATATTGGTATTCAATTTCATAACGACAAACACTTTTAGTTTTACTTTGGCCTATACCTTTATCTTCTAAATCAGTGGCACGTTGTGGGTTTGGATCATGAATTTGACCTGTTAAGATATTAAGAAAGAACTCAATCATTGTTGTTTTTCCAGTACCTGTCATACCTAGTAAGACAAAGTAGTAACGTTCACGATCATCAAGCGATCGTTTTGCTTGTTCATAAAAATCTTGAAATAATTCATCATCTATTAAATCTACTTTTACAAAATATTTTAAAATAAATTCATCAGGTGTTGATAAATTTTTAACTTCTACACTGTTGGTAACTGGCTTTTTCTTTAATCGATCTCTCCAAAGTATTGAACTTTTTGAATCTGAAATTTTAGTTTCCTATAATTGGGTGATTATAATAGATAAAGGAGTGGTGAGTGTGAGTATGAGTATGAGTATGAGTATGAGTATGAGTATGAGTATGAGTATGAGTATGAGTATGAGTATGAGTATGAGTATGAGTATGAGTATGAGTTTGAGTAAGTAAATAAAGAATACATACACTACCTCCTTCATGAATCACGGTTGAAGGGAAACTAACTTCATCATCCTCCCATATGCCATCAATCGATTTTAATTGATCAACATTACCATTACGATATGTTAATTTACCTTGACCATGACGTTTACCTTCTAAACAAAATCCTTCATATTTTGATTTGTTTTTGTATATGTATATTCCTTTATATGTTGGTATTTTATTGACAGTTGGACCTATCCATCTACCTTTTTCAGTTTCTGTGAATGTAGATCCAATCATTTGTTGTGCATTTACTTTAATCTCTGAAATTGCTGAATCTGTACATGGAATCTCTGAGCTATTATAATAAGAAATAATTAATTGTTAATATAATTATTAATTTATTAGTTTGTATTTTTACTCACTCAAGAATATTTTTCATTGAACTTTGAATAAATTTAACAAGAGAATCTTGAGTTTTTTTTAAGGATGTGATTTGTTGAGCGACTTTGGAATATAAGGATTGTACATAAATTGATGTATCCTCCTCACCGAGCATAGGTAAAATCAATTGATTAAAAGCACCTAACTGAATTATCATTTGTTGGAATTCCCAATAGAATGAACCAATTGATGAAAGTTTATTCTTATAATGACCTAAAGATATTGGATCAAGAGAGAGAAGTGGTGTTGCTCTTGGTGGTATTGGTGATATTTCCATTCTTACTGGCATTAATCTATCTTTATCAACTTCAAATGAGTTAATAACTCTGATTGCATCATCAAAACTTTGAATATCAGTTCTATCAATTGGTTTACAACCACCTAAAAGAACTGACGATGTTACTTTTAATTTTGATGAGGATGAACTTTCTGTTTTATCAATATGAGCTTTAACTGAAAGTGAAAGTGCACCAATTGAAAGGCTTCCTGATAATTCTCCTTTAAGTTGATTCATAGTTGATTTATCACTATTTTTTAAATTATTATTTTTATTTTTATTATTATTATTATTATTATTATTGTTATTATTATTATTATTATTATTATTATTATTATTATTATTATTATTATTATTATTATTATTATTATTATTATTATTATTATTATTATTATTATTATTATTATTATTATTATTATTATTATTATTATTATTATTATTATTATTATTATTATTATTATTATTATTATTATTATTATTATTATTATTATTATTATTATTATTATTATTATTATTATTATTATTATTATTATTATTATTATTATTATTATTATTATTATTATTATTATTATTATTATTATTATTATTATTATTATTATTATTATTATTATTATTATTAATATTATTATTAATATTATTATTAATATTGTTATTATTATTAATTTTATTTTTATTATTTTTATTTGATAGAAAAAAGGTTTAAAATAATAATTAAACTTACGAAGATTCTAGGGTAATTTTTAAATCTATAATTGCACCAAATTCAATTTTACTAATATAAAAAAGACCATAACCGGATCTGAGTAAGTCAATACTTGTTATTTTTGAAATATCATCAGATGGTTCAGAACTATTATCAAGTTCAACAATTTTATCTACAATTCTTCTTGTATACAAAAATGTCAATCTTTCGTTACCTGAAGTACTGGTATCAATATAATTACCCATAACTTTACCTGAAATAAGACCATATGATAAACTTAATTCTGATGAAAAAAAAAAAAAAAAAAATTAAATGAATATTCAATTAATATTAAATTAGATGTTCAATAATAAATCACTTCACTAATTAATATTATCACATACCTCCTCCTACATCTAATGCTGATTTTAATGATTCATTATCTCTAATTAATGTTAGATTACTTGAATCAGATTTGGGAAAAGTTGATTTGTGTCTGTTTAATTTTTAAAATTTAATTTTTGAAAAAAAAAAAAGAAAAATATTTATCCAAAAAAAAATAAAAAATTTTGAAAATAAAATTTAAAAAAAAAAAATATATTAATAAATAAAAAATAAATTAATAAATAAAAAAATAAATAATTATATAATATATAAATACTCTTTATTTGAAATGAAAACTTCACTCTTTTTAGCATTTCCACCATTTTCATCGATACTGAAACCTCTTCCTAAATCGTTTTCTGTTATTAATAAGGTATTTACACCAGCAGGTATTGGTAAAACCAATGACATTTTAAAATATTTAATAATTTATAGAATAAAAAAAAAAAAAAAAAATTTTTAAAATTGTTAATTTAAGTAATTGAAAAAAAAAAAAAATAATAAAAAAAAATTCTTTTTTTTTTTTTTATTTATTTAAAAGTCAAAAATATAGATTTATTCGCTTTAGAAATTAGGAACTTATTTTAAAAACTAACATTAGTTTTTGTTGAGAATTTTCTTAAAATTAAAAAATAAGCTCCTAATTTCTTAAGCGTATTAACCTATTTTTTTTTTGACATTTTTTTAAATAAATTAAACAAAGGGTTTTTTTTAGACAATTTTTTTTTTTAAAACGTGATAATCACCGATCCATTT